TTAAAAATAAGAAACTCTAGATAAAAATTATAAATAAAGCAGTTCCCAATCATTGGATTTATCTAACCATATTCGCTAGATGCCAATTTTGGGTGAACGAAAAAATCTAGCTCGCGATTTTTTTTTGGCCGAACTTGCAGTCCCAGTTATGATAATATTCAAGAAAAAAGAAAACTTGCGCAAGTAAAGGACATAAACATTTTAAAATTTATAGACAAATAAAATATATGCCCCCAAATTTTTAAAGGCCATTTGCCTTTAAAAACTTCACAAATTTTCTAGTTTTAAAATACATTTGCGAGAATAAAATGAAATGCATGCAAAGCCAGAAAAGTTTTTAAACTTTGCCTTAAATGAATTAGGCACATTTTTTTGGCGCATGAAAAATGCATTTTGCACCACGGTGCGAACAACAGTTTTGCACGTTGCGTTGATAACAACTCATTTCACGTGTCGAGATAGTTTTACTTGCAGCAACCGGCAACTGCAGTCGACTGGAAGACTTGGATAGAAGGGTGGAGCAGGAGCAGGAGCAAGAGCAGGAGAAGTAGGTGGAGGTTGGGTCGAGAGACTGTTGGCTGTTTTTAACGAACGCTCGTTAAAAGCGAGCAGCATTTGCAGTAGCTTTTTTTTAGTATAGTTGTTGCTGCTGCTGCGGTTGCTGCGACTGCGGCTGTTGTCGTAGGAAGTCGTCAAAAAGTGTCGTTCGACATCGTTCCAAGTCGTCCAATATTCTATGGTTGATTCCACACAGGTCTCACTAGTTAACTTCGCTTCACTGATGCGCTTTTTTCAATTTGTCACGTACGCTAGATTTTCACTTCGATATTCTGGCTTGCTCATTGCAATAACAACAAAAGCAGGGGGAAGGTGGCAAAAAAGAGGGCGTGGGAAGGGCGAGGGGCGTGGCGTCGGTAAGCACTTAATAACGAATTAGTATTTATGATATTCATAGAATAATATACGTTTGTCCCGCTAATCTATATAAGAATCGGCGCTGGGCTTGCATGCGGCGAGTCTATCTAATTATGCAAGATTTCCAGGGTCTTAGGCAACATTTTCTAGGCCAATATTGTGTATATTATATTCGAGCTATATATGATGTAATGTTGACTAAATTATGACGTTCGGCCAGAAACGTGCGCTGGACACATTTATCATGGCTGGCCGGAATCGGTGCCCCTTTTACCCCGGCCCAAAAGCAATAATAACTTTATGTCTTTTGACTCGGCAACGGTCACACAAAAGTCCGGCTCGAGTCCGGCTGGAGTCCGGCTAGAGTTCTACAAGTCCTTGACTTGGCTATGATAGAAAATTGTGTCACGACAGGAAGCGAGATAAGAGCGTAATTTTCTTTCAGCGACCAAACTGAGCACCCCGAGCCACCCCACCTGCTGCCACCCTACCTGGTGGCAACCCAACCCACCTTGGTGGCCCGTTGCCCGGATGTCGACTATCGTGGTTACCGTTAGTCATTTTCAGTGATTGTTCAAGCGACGAAGGAGCTCACGACGTTCACTTGACTTTTAATGATTGTCACGCTCCCTATCCAACCCCTGCACCCTGCTCCCAGCCCCCGGCCACCTTAAGAGACAGACCCGCGGCATCGAGCTGTGCCTAATTTGCATTTATATTCATAATCTTGGGCATTGCGTCATGTAATATCGCATGTCCCGAACTTGTGACACTTTAATTGCTTGCTGGATCTCACATCCAGGTACAGTGAACACCCAAGCCGAGTGCACACTTGCGGCTGGCCCCAGTTTGGGCTACAGTTCAATGCGAATCGCACGCAATTTGCATTTTGCATTTTGCATAAATCGTCGAACTCATTAGCGTTGTCTATATGGGGCCGCTCTATATGGTTTTATGGGGGGCTCTTTCTTGTCTCTGTTCCATTTGCTGACTACGTGACTTTTGCGCATTTTGGCGCTTTTCATGTCTGCAGATCGATTTTCAGGCGATCCTCGACCACAGCTAAACAGATACAGATCTTAAAGTGAGATCAACTGAGAGTAGGGGGCAGACCAAGTGGAAGGCAGAGATGGGCGAGTCTCGTGAATTTCTGGCACGAGAAGACGTCCATTTGTCGAAAAGAGCGAAACATATAAAAAAACAAAAAAATTCATCCGTTTACGCTCATTTTCCACCCATTGGAGTGAAAACTTATAAAAAAAAAATTGCATTCGATCGGGTTAATATTTAACTTTTGTACAAATCTTTTGTCGAACCCACTGCTCACTTATGTGAGCACTGAATAAAATTTTGACTCATAGCTCTCACGTTTTGGGCTGTGCGCTGTTCATCAATCAGTCAATCAATCAGTCCGGCTAAACTGCTTGGAATATATATATGGTTTTTATTTTTCTAATTAATTGCAATTGAAATCTTAAACCAGCTTTTTATTACTTTCACAGTTTGCACTAAGAGCTATGCATCAATCAGCTAGTCAGTCAGTCAATCAGGCAATACAAAAGAGATGTAAGTAAATAGATGCGTAAACATGGAACATTCTTCTGTTGTTACGATAATATTTCAAACTGATTATGACTCTTCTTGGCCTCAACATACACACTTTCGACTGTGCATTGAGGACCAATCAATCAGTCAATCAATCAATCAGAATAAGCAGATTGAAATATATGACATTTGTTTTAATATCTTGATAAATGGCAATTGCATTACTTTTAACTGCTTGTATAATTGTAGCTTTATATCGATTAAATAATTATTTAAAATTCTCACGCCGTGTGGATCTTTAAACGTGCTCGTGTCACGAAAGAAAACACGACATGCGCTCAACTCTTGTGCGATGCATTTCAGCAATTGACGTTCTGCTGACCAAACAGAACTAAGTTAAGTTGTTAAGTTGTTGTTGTTGTTGTTGTTGTTGCCAGCCAGATAAATGCCTAAAAATACAAACAAAGATACTCGAGATCATACAATGTGGGCTCGGGTTCCCTTCGGTCTGCAAGCTATCTGACCATGTCAGACCTTCTTCAGAACTGCAGCATTATCGACTCCGCCAACACTCGAGCATAATTGAATTTTCAGCATTTATCTCCAGCATTTATGTGCACTCTATGCTAGCACAACTCTATACCCTATGCGCCAATTGGTATAGGAGGGAGTAAAGGGTATTTTATAGCCAACTACCCAACCAACTGCCCCGCCCCAGCTTGCCCCGCCCAGCCTTTAGCCAGTTAAGCACTTTGAGCTATAGCCAAGCGTAAAGAGATGTAAAGACATGCTCGAGTGTGCCACTCGATGGCTGGGCAGGTGAAGTCAGGAGCTGCCTTTGGCTAAGAGGCATGGGTAATGGGTCGTGGGAGGTAGAGAGTGGGCGGTAAGGGGGGAGGGGGCTTGCTGCGTTGCCACAAAATGCCAAACAAGCGTAAACTGCCATTTTGCCATTTCAAGTCGCAAGCATTTCAAGCACAACAACACTAGCTGCATATACATACAGAACACAAGAGCTCACTGCCAGATACCCTATAAAAAAAAATAGTTTTGATAGTGTGCAGATATTTGAAGTGCTTAAATTGGTAAATATCGAAAATGTGTTTTCTGAAATTATATTACTCAAATATTAAGAAGTTTGGTTATAGCAAATAAAACTGCCTTTCGTGTGTTTCTATCAAAATGCTAAATTATACAAGAATTCGCTTATTTTTAATAATAATCCAATTAAAAAATATTAAGACTCATTAAAATTGTTATAGGTCAAGAGAATGACATAACTCAATTAATTTAATTTATAATATAAAGTTTAGCTATCAATAGTTCAATAGACGGCAAACCAATATACTGGCCAACATTTACTACAGGGTATTTTAAATTAAAACTGAAATTGTATGTGAAAATAAAGTATTTCATTATGTTCATAATTTTATTGTATGCATCAGCGGGGCCAGCGCGCATTTGCACGCATTTTAGTCGCATTCGCTGGCTGCTTTAAGTGCCACACCCACACGCCTACCCCCTCCCTCCCACTCAATGCACGCATCCCCTGACCAAGCCAGGCAGCCATTCAATGATAGACCGTTAGCTGCTCTCCAGTTGCCCGCTTTTGGATTGCCCGCAAAAATTGGCTCAGTTGAATTTGATTAGTTCTGGTTGGCGAAGTTCGCACAAAAAATGTACGCAAACAATGGCTTAAAGGACATTTTCAAATGGGCAACAAGCTTAGATTTGGCAGCTCCTCAACGAACTGCCCTAGCGCAAAATTTGCTTTCTTGCCAAGCTAATTAACTTGCGGCAATTAACCAGCAAATTAATTAAGAGCTCCGAGTGCAAAAGTCGAGAATGCTGCAAATTAAAATATTATTCTAATATGCATAGAAATTTATACCCATTAACTTTTTTCTATATATTAATATTGATTGAATATTGAAATTTTTTGCTAGCTTTGAACTGACGATTTCTCTCTTGCTGGTTCGACGTGGAGACACCTAGGCACTCGCAATTGAACTATAACAACTGCAACCACATACATCCACAAAATGAAACATTACTGTTGGATTTGAACCGGCGATCTCTCGCTGGCTAGCTCGATGTCACGCTCGTGGCCGAACGAGTTGTTAAAATATTCTCAAGGACTTCCCCAGATATTGTATATAGCCTTCACTTTTGGGATATGGACACGTTTGAAGATCAACTTCTAAAACGAAATATTTCAAATCGATCGGACTTAACACATAGAAGATAGGCTGGGGGAGCTTAAAGGTTCGTAGGATCAATAAACTTTGGAAGAACTTGGGCCTGTTGTCAGGTTGAGTTAGGCCCAAAGAAATTTTGAATAATTGTGAGTGGATACCGTGATACTACATAACATCTGCTTGCATAAAAAATAAAAGTCTCTTTTTGAATAAATTGACATTCATTCAATACGAATTTCGGATTGCAATCAAATCAAAACTTTGAAATAAAATTCTATGATATGTCGGACATGAATTGTTAAGCGTTTTTGGAAAATGTGAAAACTCATTTATTGCGCCGAATTTGATTTAGAAAATACAAATTTCTAGTTTTTTTTATTTTCCGAAAAATGTTTAAACCAAATTTTCTATTTATATTGGCGATTATTTTTCTGATTGGCGTAAGTTGCACTGTGAGATCTCGCCTCGAGCTTCGCCCTGATCCTGACCTGACCCTGCCGCACATTGCAGCTAGATAATGCGCGCTCATCGCCACTAAAAAAAAATACGCCTGCCAGCCCGGAAGATAAGACTGCGGCAGCAGCTGACCTGGACGACGAGTCCGCATACGATGATGAAGAAGAAACTAAGGCAACAGCCGATGATAAGAACAACAGCACAACGGCAACAGCCGATATTAAGAAAGAGACTACGGCTGCGACGACTGTACAAAGTGCAAGGACGACGGCAACAGTTGACGAGACTGTGTCCAAATCTAACACTGCAGATCCGAGCACTTCGACTGTCATGCATTTATTTCCGCACAAAGCTACAGCATCAACTAATACTAAGCTGAGCGAGTCGGATGAAGATTATCAATACAAGGATCTTCCAGAGAAATCGAAGCCAAAAACTGTAATGAAGAATCCTATTTTAAGCGATGAAGGCGAGGAAGCAGCTCCACCAGCTGGAGACGCTGCAGAAGCCGGAGCAGCCGGAGCTGATGGCGCAGCCGCAGCTGGCGCTGAGGGTGCAGCTGGAGCCGCTGCAGGGAATGGGACAGCTGGAGCAGCTGGCGACGGCGGCGGTGGCGGCGGCGCCGCCGGCGGCAAGGACGTGACTCCCAGCGGACCGCCCAAGTTTTTCAGGGATCATATGGGCAACTGGGTGTACAATCTATGGGGCGCTACCCTTGGCAAAGTCGGGCAAGATTCGCGCTATCCCGAAATGCGCACCATAGAGCACTTCAAGATTGACTCGAATGCAGCCAAAAAATACTATCCAGAGTGCGTATAACCACAAAGTGTTCCAAGTAGGTTGGGCTAGGTTTCGAGTATTGAAATAGTTCTTCAATTTGACATACACCAGTCTTCAGTATCTTCGGTCTGCAGAGTCCGATCTTTGTCAAATTCTCAGGTCTTACATATAGCCGAGGAAAGTGCGTGTATACCAAAGCGCAAGGCTCTAGATTTACAAATAAGATTATTTTAAGTTTCTAGGAATCGGCGAAGTATCTAAAAAGAAGTTTAATATATTTCGGGATTTTTATAAATTTCTCGGGAAATGGGCTGGGTACAGTCTAGCGGGGCTCTTATAATATTCGATTTACTCGAGTAAATCGATATTTATCGATATGAAAATGTATCGATATTTGTATACCATAACTAGACATTTAGTCTCGCGACAACAGTAAGCAACCGATAAATTTTCTTTACTCACAACAGTGGAGAACTAGCGACCGTTTGCAAGGACAGTTCCACCATCTACAATGTGCCCCGTGTTAAAAATTGGATTGCACGAAACGTCTATAGTAAAGAGATTAAAGGCCGGCCCATCTGGAACGAGCTGCGGCGTCACATCTACACGAAGGGCAACTCCGAAGAGTGCCACGACAGCGAGAAATTTGGCAAGTGGAGGGACTATCAGGAGTGCGCAATCAGGCGCAACATGCGACTGGAGCACATAATACCCATGTATCCCATGCACCAAATGCGAAACTAGATCATCCGTTGATGGCCATTCACAGTTGTCTTTACTGTTCTTCATCATTTATTTTTTTTTTTTTTCATCGCAATGTTTTTGTTTTTATATTTTGGAAGTTTTTTAATAAAATTTGGTTAAAATTATATATATACCGAAAACTTTGCTTGTTTGAATTGACTTGTGTGTGTGCTCGAAGGGTGAACTAAGGCAAAATAGAGGGCACTGGTTCAAATCCTAGCCGAATAGATCTATGCTTCAGGTCGCACATAAATGACTGTAGTTATAGACTCACTCGTTAGCTTGCAACAGGCGACAATGCACGACGAGCAGATACCCCGTATAAGGTTATCCAAAATAGAGGGCACCGGTTCAAACCCTAGACAAATATATAGATGTTCCAGAATACAGATAGATGGATATCGATTAGACTTGCTCTTAAGATGCACGAGCAGCAGATACCCTGTATTCAGCTATAATACAAAGGGTGAAGGGTAACCGCGTATCAGGTTATCCAAAATAGAGGACACTGGTTCAAATCCTAGGCAAATTCGTGACTGCACATAAATGAATATACATTAGCTGACCTCGAAAGGTTGCAAAGATGCACGACTAACAGATACCGTGTATCCGACTACTTTTAATCTATTAAATAACTCTAGCTCATATTATCCTCGTAATAAAATCCTCAACATTGCAAAATTGTGCTCCCTCAATCCCTTTAATCTCTAAGCTCCTTTTTCTATGTCTATTTTAAACGTTTTCTGCATACGATCTCATCTTCATGAAAACAACAAATTAGACCAATTTACGTTTGAAATTGGATTGATAAGTCCCTGAACTATAATAGGAAATCGTTTGTTTCAGTTTATATAGAATCGAATAATTTGCGTTAGGTTTACTCCAATATGTACAAATTTCTTGTCAGATTTATTTTTGAAATGTTGAGATTAAATTTTGGTTTGTTTATCTTGGCGATTGCCTGCCAAAATGTCGTAAGTGTCGCCTGCAAAGACTTCTCCTCCTCCATTACGAATCTCTGTCGCAGGAATTACAAGCGGCAATTTTGAGAGCAACAAGTCTGAGGCCGGATAATCTATTAACCGCGGCCAAAAATCAGAGCTGGGGCATGCAGCTATTTGCACCGAAGGCGTTTTTACCACCAGGGCTAACCACAAAGTTTGTGCAGCTTTTCGCACAGGGCGTTGGCCATGCGGCAAATACGACGGAAGGGAGCGGCGATGCGGCAAAGAAGTTGGAAGGAGCTGATGACGGAAAAGGCAACGGTGCGGCAGTTGGCAATGCAACAGAGAAGGCGGTAGCTGGCGATGAGGCAGGGAAAACGGCAGAGAAAACGGGAGGCAGCGATCCGGCTGCACAGGCGGCCGGCAGGTCGGGGCCAGGCGGCGGTGCGGCAGATAAACCGGAAGTCGTCCGTGCCCGTAGCGGTGTTGGCTACAAAACAAACAAACACTCGGGCGAGGTGACCGTTTCATTGCCGCGATTCATACAGAACGAAAAAGGCGACTGGGTGTACCACTATTGGGGCGCTACCTATGGCAAAGTGTGGCACGATACGCGTTTCGGCATCAACAAAGCTCGCACCGTGCAGCGTCTGCGGATTGACTCGATGGCGATCCGCAGTTATTATCCCACGTGAGTATTAACCCATTTATGCGCAAATTGCGAACGCTATCTTTGGCAAGCCGAAGATAAGATGGCCTTTTCAAAAAAATGTTTATATTGAAACGTTTTCCTGCGAGATTATCAACTGTTATGCTAACTGGATAAATTGTATATTTTTTTTTCACAAAAGGGGACCGCTCGGTCTTGTGTGTTTGGGCAAGACAACAGTATATAATAGGCCCATAGTGTTAGATTATCTGACCCCGAGAAAGTATTGGCACCAAATAAAACATAGGCCAATCTGGGAAAGCCTCAGAAGGCAGATCACCATTCAAGGCTCTTCCGAGCAGTGCCACAACACAGACAACTATCCAAAGTTCAGAGACTTTCAAGAGTGCCAAATGAGGCGTAACATGCGAATGGAATATTTGATACCGAAGTATCCATTACACCAAAAAATCTGACCACCGATGATTGCCGAGGTGTCCTGCGACGAGTGTCCTGCGACAATACGGATGCCCGGCGAAGCCGAATCCTTGCTGCTGGGCGACAAGAAGTCAGCTGAACAGTTCCGGTCCCACACCCCACCCAGCCAGGCCACAGTCCGAAGGAAACTAATATTATCCGGGACAAACATAACGACTACCTCCAATTACCCTAAGTCCAGGCCAGACCCAGGCCCTCACAGCTTTCGATTCGTGTCCTGGCAGCGATTGTGCGCATTATATAACACATATATTTACCTACATATTGCCGAGGAGGGGCTCGGATAGAAGGAGGAGGAGAGTGAGTGTGTGTGTGGGTGTGGGTGTGGGTGGGGATTGCCAGAGAAATGTATAATTTATGTTGTTTTAAATCAAAGAACGTTATGTCCAGACAAACAAGCAATGCCCTGGAAAAAGGCAGAGAATGTCTGAAACGGGTATAACTGAGCGTAAGATGCTCGACTAGCAAGACACCCTGTGCATACGTACTCAGATGTTTACAAATAATTGTTTGTATTAAGAATAATAAAACGTATAAAACCTTTGAAGACCTAAAACTAACCGCATCTTTACTTACAACTTTTTCTCTTTCTACATATTAATATATATACATATATCAAATTTGAAATTCTGTTCTTTTTAGCATAACAAGAGGATTATTAGAGCTGAGTTCGGGATATTGCATGCGTTTTAACAGGTATATGCCACCCTGTTCTCATCTATTTTGGCACTACAGGGTATACAAACATTTCCCAAGACACATGTATGTGCGCAGATATAACGGAAGAGAGTCTGTATGTGTTTGAGTTTGTGGTTTCCCTAGATTACAAGCACAATTGAATGTGTGTGTGGTGTGTGTGTGGTGTGTGTGTAGTGTGGAGTGTGGTGTGTGTGTGTGTGGCAACGCCCACCACATGCCACGCACATCAGCCAACCATCGACCGCCCCTAACGAGCATCGAGCATGTGTAGAAGTCCTTGCAGCTCCTTAGAGCTGGGCTGCTTCTGCTACTGCTTCTGGTTCTGCTTCTGGTTATGCCTGAGCTGGCCGCTCGGTTCGAGTCGAATGCGAAACGATTTAATTTGTTTCGGAGGTAATGTGGCATATGCTCGCCCTCGGCCTGGGAGTTGCCACACAGATTGAGTGTTAAACATGAACAGAAAGACTCGCAAAGTCAAATGGAAAAATGAGAAAAGCCTTCAGAATTTATAACACAGCCCGATTTGCATATTTATGAATAATGTGTGGATATAAGCAGAATATAAAATGGGGCCCAACTTGACTCTTGTGGCGTGTCTTTCCACTACGAAAACCAGCGAAAAGCCAATGACAGGTGCGCGCACACAAAAGCCCACTTTGGCTTTTCCATTTCTATAACCTTTGCATGACCACACGGACCTGGCTTGCTTGCTTATGTGTGTGTGTGTTTGTGTGTGTGTGAAATTGATACTCCTGTGCACACACACACACACACACACATATACACACAGGCGCACACACACCGAGGCACGTGCGCATAGTCCAGACATTGGTCACGAAAAGCGGAAATGCTGATAAGAAATTTCAATGTTTTGTTTCTCTTATAAACATTTTCTTTTTTTTTATTTCGTTGTCGTGTTTAATGTCTTTTTGTCGTGCTTAGTGTCTTTAGTGCTGTGCGTGTGTGTGTGTGTGTGTGTGTGTCCATATAATCTTTATATACATACACATAAAATACTAAGTTGCTGACCAGCAGCTCCTTAAGCGTGAGACATGTCCTTCCAGTAGAGCTCTGCGAAATACACTCATAATGGGTTATACGCCGGAGAGGGTAGCTAAGGAGGGGGGGGGGCATTGTTATGAGCATTGCATGTGATAGTTGGCAAAGGAGTTCAGGCTACAACCAAAATCCTTAATCTATATGAGATCTTAGGGAATTATGTGTACAAGAAAAAGTAATTCATCGATTCAAATTTTGCTCCTGATATAAAGTAAATAACAAAGATTTTCATAAAAAATTGCAATAATAACAAAGCTTATACAATTTGAAGATATTTTCAATGTGAAACAACTCTTTGACTGATAACAATTCACTGAAAACAAAAATCTAGAAAATTGCCTTAAATAGAAATTAACACATTTCATAATTTAAGAAACTTGTAGCAAAAGTATTTTCCCAAGAAGACCTTTATTTACAATTAAAAATAAATAAACTAAAAAGAAAGGATATCTTGTAAGGTTATTCATGTAAACATTTCCCTCTTACAGAAGAGAGAAGCTTGAAATTGCTGAGTTTGATAAAAATATCAGTGAAAAAAGAATATTTTATAGGAGCCTTCTCATTCAAACTATCTATCCTATGGCAGCAATATTATATAGTGGTCCGATCTGACAAAATGACATAATTATTATAGCCTCTGCAAATTTGTTTATGATACGTAGACACAAGTTATTGGCCAAGTGTTAGGACCATAATTAAAGATATATATAAGACCGCTTATTGTATAAAGATCGGTAAAGTTTTAAGATTTAAATCAATAAATATATAAGCACATTAAATTAGTTTAAAGTGGAATATACAGATAATAATCCGGCTTTGCTCGTGCCCACAACACAAATTTGATCTCATTAAGAACAAAAGAGTTAAAAAATATAATGAATAAATATAAATGAACATCTTTAAAAGCGAGTCAGCAATGGTCACAAATCTTAAGAGATTAAAGAGATCACAACAAAGCAAATCAACAGAGGCAAGTACTGCATAAGAGATCCCTCAACAACTGGCATTCCATTCATATTTAAATGTTTTGAGTCTAAACCAATTTGTGTCAAACTCTTGAGTCTTGAATCCAAGACTTACGATCTTTTTTATGGCGCTGCGTCCAAAACAAATCTTAATGGGCAGCCATAAAATGCACATAAAACGGCGACGCGATTCATAATTCGAATAGTTTCTCAATTTGCCGGCGCGAGTTTGTTAAGGGCTCAAACCAGTGCAGTTCCTGTGCGGCCAGCTGAGCGGTAATCTTCAGACAGCGCAGCCACTTATCAAATTTCACACTCGATTTCCAAATGAAGGCGTCGCGAAGTTTTCCATTTTCTCGAATTGGATGCACCGCAATCGCCGCCACGCATCGAATCTGTGCGACAGTCGCCCAGCTTGGGAATGCCATATATGTATGTATATTAATTTATGTGCCCATAACAATTAGAAAGAAGTCAAGTGGTAGCTGCGATTTCTCTGAGGGGGAATGAGAATATTGGGAAAATATTGGAGAAATTGTAAAAAACAAAATTGTGACTACACTCAGAAAAATAAACTAGCTGCAATCGCCAAATTTAAATGGGGTCCAAGGCGAAAAAGAAGTATAGAAACCAATCATAATTTTTGTCTAAAAAAAAATGAAAATTAACTTAAAAAATAGAATTAAATCTTTAAAATATTTTTTTTAATTGTAATTTTTTTGAGTGTATTTAGACAGTGGGGACACTTGATTGTGAACCTCCTCAAGCGAACACGAGGCTCGAACTCTCAGCCGAGCCGCTGTCACGCTGATGATTATCTCATATAGAAATTCACAGGCCTCTCGAGCGAGTTTTGAGGCAAGCACGTGACTTATGTACACACACACACACACGCACACTCGCTCAGAGTCTAAAGAGACGCCGTAATTCAATTTGCTGTTGTGTACCGCGGGCATGTTTAATTTCATTTGCAGCGTATTTAAGCTAAAACCAAACTCAACCATACCAAAGCGGCCAACACAATGAACCGGGTTGCTTTCGGGTGGTTCAGTTGGTTCGGGTTATTGGGCTGTGGTCACGCAGTAGGGCGTGAGGGAGGGGCGTGAGTGTGCGCGCAAAATGTTCAATTTAAAAATTTATGCAATTATGAGCCGCAAATATTATTATATAAACACAAGCACAAATACGACAAGCAAAAGGGCACGACCTGACCGGGCGCCAAATGAGCAGTGGGCGAGCACGAGGTGACGTGTAAAAAGTAGCGAGTAACGCGTAGCGAGTGGTATGAGAGGACGAACGAGTGTTTCAGGTGACAACATATTGATGGAGAACAAAACATGAGTTAGCTTAAACGATTAGTAAAAGGATAAAGCAGCAAATGATCAACGAGTGGCGAGTGGCAAGTAACGAGTAGCAAATGGCCAACGAGTAACGAGAAACGTGTGTCGAGCAACTAGTGCCGAGCGATGAGAGCGAGTGAAATGTAGCGAGATGTGATCTAGCGGCAACCCATAGACAATAACATGCCTAGAATTATTGCGCGACTGCTTCAAAGATTCCCAAATCGGCACGGCGAAGCATTACAGCGAGTTATGAGTTGCCAGTGGCGAGTAGCGTGATTGAGCGCGTGACCAGCCCAGCAGCGTTTCGGTGGCAACATATTGATAGACAATAATTTGTCTTAATGAAATTTTGGTATTATTTATGAGATTGCCGGAACGTGTAGTAAACGATTTTCCTTTTTTCTTTTCATATTTATTCGTCGGGGGATGTGCTCGTGTGTGTCCTAAGGCTTCAGGGCACGGCGAGAACGTCGTCGCTGGTTAAACAAAAACAAGCTGTTGTTGCCACTGTTGCTTCAGGATTGCATTGTTGTAGAAGGAGCCACCTTCCGCTTGCCCGCCAGGCAATTAGTGTTACTTGCCAGCTACCCCCTTTAGATTTGTGGCCTGTCGTTAGGGTTTGGGATTGGAGAGTTGGGCTCAGCCACATTGGTTGTGTTCAGGTTGCCCGGCAGGTTGTGTCTTTTATGTGCTGTGTGCATAATTTATTGTTTTTCTTATGCCAAAGAAAACTCTGTCTGGAAGCCCCGTGTTTCAATTATCACATTTTCACTACACAATTTTCTCCGGCTACATTTGGAAATGTTCCTGTGTAATTAGATTTGCTTTTTGCTATTTGCTGCTGTTGCCATTCAAACGCCTTCCCATTGGCAACCACAAAGCACAAGTCCGAGCGAGCACTCACAAGCTCTTAATGGGGCTTCCCCGCTGCGTGTGCGTGTTTATATTGAGAGCGTTTGAGCTTCGTCCTTTTGACTGCTGTGTAAAATCTCTATCAAAATCTCAAATCAATTGAACTTAAATTGAATTTTAAATTGGCCACTGCCTGACACATGGCTGCCTCGGGCGTTAGTTGGGCGTGGCTGTGGGTAGTGTCACTTGCATTTGACATTTGTCCTGGATAATCGTAGGCTGTGGCTAGTGTATACAAGACATACATACTCAAGAGCCACTCGCTATACACACATGTTATTGTAATCGAATGTTTTAGAAGAAATATTAAAAGTCTTATATTTCCTTTTCCGGCAAAGGCCGGGCAATAGCCGCTTATAATTATTATGATAATCAACTTAAAAAGTTAAAAAATGTCCACTCACCAATTATCCATTCACCCGCAAGCCGGTTTAATGAACATCAAAATATATACGCCTCATTTTAATTCCTGAGAATCGCAAAGAACGGCTCCCGTTTATTTCGAATCGTTGCTGCAACATTTTAAATGCACATTAATCAATTAGTTAAAGCAATTGTTTATCACATAACAAAACAAA